GGGTGTAACCCGAATTCTTTTGTTGAAGTGTTTGAAATATTGAAGAATTCTAGTTGAAGTACACGTCAAGGAGAATTCAAGTTTGGAATGCTATTGGAGTCCTATGTCAAGTTGAAATTCTATTTTGGAAGCCTATTGTGAGTTGGAATTTATTTTGAACTCAATTTTATGGTATCATACTTCATTAACAACTCTACTATGTGGGTTTGGACATCCCCTACTTATTCTCTATCAATACTAGGTTCTTTTATACAATTTTATAGGTGTGAGAAAATAGATTACTAGGATTATATGATCTATTGTAATTTTCTCTCTTCTCCATTATTCTTGAGTCAATAAAATCTCTTAATTCCTCTGTCATATTCTTATCTTCTTTATTTTTTTGTTTGATCAAATACTTCATTATTTTCATTATCATTTGTCATATAACTTCAACATCACAATCTAGTAGTTTGTTTCACTACATTTGGTATCAGAGCTATTTTCGTATCTTGTTCATTTTACAACAATTGGTATCAGAGCTCCAGGTTCAGCAGTTCCGTAAGAGCGCGATGATTGATTTGTTCGAGTTTTTTTTATTCGTGATGATTTCCATGAAATATAATATTCCGTTTTTGGGTCGGAGCACTAGATTTTAGTTATGACAGGTTAAGATACGTGCAGCACTGACAAGATGTCCGCAACTTCAATAGCGAATGAGAAATTATGGAAGGATGAGAATGCAGTTTCTTACATTCATCTTCATCTATCAAATATTATTCTTCAGGACGTTTTGAAGGAGAATTCAATGGCTGCTTTATGATTAAGGTTAGATCAATTGTGCATGACTAAAAGTCTGACAAGCAAGTTGAACCTTAAGCAGCGTTTATACTCTCATTGAATGGCAGAAGGAAGATTATTGAAAGATCACTTGACTGTATTTAAGGAGATCGTCATTGATTTAGAAACTTTGGAAGTAGAGTATGATGAAGAAGATTTGGCCTTGATTCTATTGTATTTATTGCCCGCTTCGTTCTCTTCTTTTAGAGACACGATTTTGTATAGTCATGATACTCTCACCATAGAGGAAGTGTATGATACTTTGTATTCAAAAGAGAAGATAAATCATCTGGTTTCTGTGGCCAGAGATGGAGAAGACCTGATTGCTTATGGTAGTTCTGGAAGGGGCAGATCGAAATCAGTAATCAAATTTGTAACTACTACAAGAAGTTACACTTAAAAGAAAAATTGCTACAAATTGCAGAATAAAGAAAGGATGACTGCAAGTAGATATTCAGATACTTCAAGTAAAGCAGACCTCGTGGAGAATGTTGTAAGTGATGGAGAACTCTTAGCTATTTTATGGCTACAACTAGATATTCGGATACTTCAGGCGATGCAGACCTCGTGGAGAACGTTGTAAGTGATGGGGAACTCTTAGCTATTTCTGACATTGAGTCTAAACCGGAAGATGATTGGATTCTTGATTCAGCATGTGTGTTTCATGTGTCCTAATAAGGACTTGTTTGCTACAGATGAAACTATTTTCAAAGGTATCGTGGTTATGGGAAACAATATCTTGTCGGGTTGTTGGAGTTGACACAGTCAGATTGAAGCTTTTAGATGGGATAATTAGAACACTTGGCTAGGTTCGATATGTTCCAGATTTGAAGAAAAATCTCATCTCGTTGTCTATCACTGATTCAAAAAGTTATGAGTTCTTTGGCGGAGGTAGAGTTTTGAAGGTTTGTAAGGGTGTCTAGTTGTATTGGAGGGACAGAAAAGGTCTCGGTTATACATCTTGCCGGGTCATGCAGAATTTAAAAGAGTCAATCAGCACAAGTTCAGGACCGTGGTGGACATTCAGTTTGGTACAATACCTTTAGGAGCTCATAAAAGGTCGAATTTGAATAATACAGTTCAATGGAGTTTAGGAAATATGGATAATGCTGCTTTGCCACCATCACCTGCAGTGCCATTGTATTCAATTGCTAGGGACGGACCCAATGGAAAAAGGGTATGTGAATGCTGATTTTGTTGATTATGCTTTAAGTGGAGTAGAAGATGTACAATCTAGCAAAGAGCCTTCTGTAAAAGCATTTGGTATTGATTCTGCTTTGGGGTGTGTTACAGCCCATTTTGGTAAATTATAAAATCATTATGATTTTTTGGAATCTTGCGTAATTCTGTAAAGTAGTGCTGGATTCATTGTAAGAGGTGGAGTATTGTGTTTAGTTGGAGAAATTAATTTTTTGGTTATTGTTGAAGAAATCAGTTCATTTCTTGGTGGAATTCGTGTCAGGTAGAGATTGTTAGAATTTGGGTGTGACACGAATTCTTTGTTGAAATAATTGAAGAATTCTAATTGAAGTGCACGTCATGAAGAATTCAAATTTAGAATATTATTGGAATCCTATGTCATGTTGAAATTCTATTTTGAAATCTCATTGAGAGTTAGAATTTGTTTTGAACTCAATTTTATGGTATTCTACTTCATCAACAATACTACTATATGTATTTGGATATCCCCTACTTATTCCCTATAAATAATAGGCTCTTCTATACAATTTTATATGTGTGAAAAAATATATTACTAGAATTATAAGATCTATTGTAATTTTTTCTGTTCTCCATTATTATTGAGTCAATAAAATCTCTTAATTCTTGTGTCATATCTTTGTCTTCTTTATTCTTTTGTTTGATCAAATACTTCATTATTATTTGCCATATAACTTCAATATCTCAATCCGGTTGTTTGTTTCACAACAATTGGTATTAGAGCTATTCTGATATCTTATTTGTTTTACAACACAACTCGTAAAGAGAAAGAGCAATTTAGGAATTATGATAACATCAAGCTCGAACAGAATTAAACTGAATCAAAACAAGACTCGTAGGCTACACTTAAAATCTCAAACAAACATCAGCTGGACCAAAAGAACAGCAAGAAATAATGTATCGGCTCAAACTACAAAAATTCATAATCAAGATGCAGCAAAAATAATGAACAATTAACCTAGTCAAAGAGACTAAAGCCCATGTCATCATCGGATTCCTCAGCCGGTTCTTCCTTCTTCTCCTCTTCCTTGGCAGCAGCAGGTGTAGCACCTGAATCAGCAGCTGCAACTGGAGCAGCAGCAACTGCAAACTTCGTGGGATCTTGATTAACAAAAGGACAATGATAAGCATGACACGACAGTAAGCTGCACTGGGTCTAAAAAGCATGCAAATTAACATAATCGGTAGATACCTCGAGGTATTCCTTCACTTTATCTGCCAGTGGGTAGGAGTAATCGGTTTCAACTGCAACTGCCAAAACATTCTTGTATGCATTGATGAACATGTGTGGTGCAGCTGCTAGTGTTGGGTATGAGATGGCCAGTGACAAGGAAGTGACCATGGAAACTCCCAAGGCAAACTTCTCAATGAGGTCGTCTTCTGTCAAATCAAGAACCTCAGGGCTGAAAACAGATCCATTGTCATAAACTGAGATGACAACAAAACCATAAGAGAAGGGCCTGATTCCAAGTTTCGCAAGCAGAGCAGCTTCAGAAGAACCCACTTTGTCACCCTTCTTGATGAGCTCCACAGGGGTGATGATTTCCACAGCTTCGTTGGAATATTGAGAATCTAGAAGGAGACGAGGTTAGAAACAATAATGCTAGAAAAAGAGAAATTTAGACACAATTAGAATGTAATATGGACACCTGGAAGAAAGAAGTCTGTGATGGATCAAGTCCCGTGTTGCCAGGTGGAACAACAACATCTACTGGAGGGACCAGACCAACACGAGCTGGAGCTCCAACCTGTAAGAACATACATTTTTTTGTATCAGTTTTACCACCAACAAAGAGTCAAAATAGGCAAAGCAAAGTAGATAAAAATTCCAAAGATTTAGACATGCAACCTTCAGCATAATCCCACTCGATTTTATACGATTTTAAAAATAATGCTTTTAACAGTAATAACATCAGAGGAAGTATGACATATTCTCCATCTAAAAAAGCAAAATCCTTATCTCAAGTAAATTTAGGACAGTCAATTTCATGCGCATGTGTGCTATTTCATACACATCCTCAATTATAAATAAACAAGAAAGATGCTAAAGAGAAATAGAATTCTATTCTCCATTAGTAGCAAATAACAAGTTAGAATAAATTAAGATCAAAAGACACTGCTTCCATTGCATTGGTATTGAGAAACAGGTCAGAACAGATTAGAAAAGAAAAGAAATCTTATCTACAAAACAGTTGTACAAATTCCAGTACACAAAAAGATGAATCTAAAATTCTCTGTGACACCTTCACTCCATTTGAATTTCAGATAGCAAAATGAGAAAAGACAATAGAATGTAATCTTGATGTGCTTGGTAGTCGAAAGCAGAAGAGAAGACAATCCTAGAAATTACAAACAAGAATTCTTAGAGTTAGCCCCAGTTTGGCCTTCATTTCTTAAAATTCATTTTTTCCCCAACTCATTTTCATCCATATATTTCATGGGATTCACAAAATTTATCTATTTTTCAACAACACATTTCATCAACTTTTATAAAAATCTCCTAAAAATCTGATTTTTATCCAAACCAAATGGGGGCTTAGCTAATTTTCCTTTCTAATGCAGGGTTTGAACATCAATGACCTATGGTAAAAGAGCTGTGCAAGTCAAACAGTATCCTACTCCTTTACATCATTCTACCTTACTAAATACAACCAAGAATAAAAAAGGGCTCAGTTAAAATGACCATTCAGTATTTGAACTCGGATAAAAAAATAAAAATAAACTTTAAGGTGAAATCTTTGAGTTCATTTCAATCATAACTAAGCAATAACACGCACAAGGTAATTTTGTCAAACACACACTACACATAAAATTTCAACCAAGTAACAGTAACATTTGATCCAGTGTCCAAAAAAGAAACTTTATGAATGTTTATCACTATGTAGTTAAGAAACTAGTAAACAATGCTCAATTAAGGCAACAAAAAAAAATTATGAAAAGGAGACAATAGATTTTAAAAGAAAAGCAGTTGCCTTTCAACAGCAAACCAGCAATGAAGGAAAAACCATTAGATAGGAATCAACAATATACAAAAGCAGTTTACCTTGTACTTGGCAACCTCCTCGCTGACTTCCTTCAGATCACCCTTAGTAAAGATCAGTCCAACATTTCCCTAGCAAAATACAGTGAACAAGGTTAAACTTGAAATCTCACTTCTAACATACCAATAACAAACATGCACTAAACATAAATCAATTAATCTTTCTAAATGTAATTAATATTTCCTCACAATATTAAATTCAAGAAAAATACACAGTAAATATAGATAAAACTCCTAATCGTTTATTAACAAAGGCCCGAAAAATAGAATAAAAATGTAAACAATGAAAAATAATTCTGCATTGTGGTTGACATTAAATTTTACATTGTTTGATATGGCACCAATCATGCCAATTAATTTTAACCACACTTGTTCAAATCAATGGCACAGTTTTCTACGCATCACACAATGTACTTAATGTTCAGTGGGAATGTACAACTAGTTTAATCCAATGAAAAAACTTTGTTATCACTTACAACAAGGAGAGGAATTAGATTAAGAATGGCCTGGTTGCCAGTCTTCTCGGAGCGAATCCTAATGCTTCTCTTCATCATGGTGTTTTTACCCATTAGAACAACAAAATCACCCCTCAGACCCTTCTGAATGTTCTGCAGCTGCTTCGATCCGACGTTGTCGGCGGCTGCCACCAGAACCTGCGTGTAGTCGTCCAGCAGCTGGCATAGCTTCGAGTCGTACGCTATTTTCTTTTCGGCCTTGGAAACCTTAGGCGCCATTGATCAAACTACACTAGCAGATAAAACCTTAGACAAAAGAATCGGCGAAAGAGCAAAGAAATGAAAGTGTATATATGGAATGACCTAAATTCTACGGTTGAGATTGGATTTCTGAATTTGATCTATGGTTGTGGATTTTTCATGACAGTGAGATGATTATCACAGGCAGGCTAGGTTTAGCACTTTCATTGTGTTGGACCAGTTGCTAGAATTTACGGTGGAAATTATACAAAATCAGAATTTTAAATTTTCAATTTCAAATTTCAAATATAAACTTTAATTCATCCATTTCATCTATTTTCTATCTCTAGATCATAATTACCCAAAAATAAAACCCTAATTTTATCTATCTTCTTCCCCTCCTATCTCTCTCTTCCCCACCTGCTCTCTTGTCTCTCACTCCCCTCTCCTTCGCACAGTTGCTGTCGGAGACACAGCGGAGCCCGTCGCTGCTACGATCATTGATCGACGATACGCAAGACTGATGCCGGTGACTCATCACAGCGTAGCGACAACGACTTTCCTTCATGCGCGGCAGTTCTTCTTCTTTTTTTTGATGTGGTGGTTGGAACTGTGCTATGTCTGACGGTGGAGCTGTCGTCGTGGTTGGGTGCGGTGTAGTTGGACGTGGTGTTGTGTGTGGTGGTTGGTTTGGATGTGGTGGTTGGGTGCAGTGTTATGTCTGTTGGTTGGGGTTGGGTGCAGGGGTGTGTAGTGGGTGGTGTGTGGTGTTGTTTTGGCGGTGGTGACTGGTGGTATGTGCAATGGTGTTGTTGGCGCGATGTGGTGTGGTGATGGCGTTGTTGCAAAAACGGTGGTGGTGGCAGTAGTGGTTGTTGTTAGGAGTGTATTGGATCTAGTGGTGGCGTCTTTGTTGGTGGTGCCGTTGTGGTAGTGGCGGCGACAACGAGGGGATAATGTCTGTGACCAATTATTTGATTGATTTGTAACAAATATTGGTGGTGGATCGGGATCGAGAGTGGAGTGTTTTGGTGTATGTGACCAATTATTTGGTTCATTGTGACTAACTATTAAAATGTGTTATTAAAATCGGATAATTTGTAACCAAGAAATAATGTGAATTAAAAAATTGTTAATATGTGACCGATAATTTGATAATTTGTGACTGTTTAATAAGGTGCGACTTACAATGCTTATAATTTGTGATCGATAAATAAATTGTGACGTGTTATCCCTAGATTCCGAGGTCTAAAGAGGCTAAGCTACGTGTCACGCCACGTGGCAGAGCAGTCAACGAATGGTCAAAAGTAAGGCCAATAGGTCAAAAGTCCCAGTGAGGAAATAGGCCGGGTCCTTAACCCAGCATCCGAAGCTATCACAGTAACAAGCTTCGGCCTGAAGTACCTCATCAAAGACAAGGCACAACCCAATTCGAGGTTCTTTCAAGTTCGTCCGAAACTCATGAAATCGACGCTGCCTCACACCAGATTTGAAGATTTTCTAAATTGATTGATGTGACATCTGCAGTAAAGTGTCTGTAATTTCAATCATTGTCAGCCCACTACTAGAACGGCTGACCTTTAGTCAAAACATTAAATGTAAGAGTGGACAGTGATGTGAA